CCAATTCCTGCTCAAATACTTTATTCAAAACTACATATTTTCATTGTGACATTTTGACATATTTTCATTGTCGTTTAGTGACCAAAATAAGTGAAACAGCGCATTGACGTACTTTGATAGAAGGGAAATAAGAGACATAAAAATATTTGGGTATCAGTAACCAGTTAAAAATATTTGATATGTCAGTAAAAATGGCCAAGTGACCAACAGAAACTGTGGCATTAACTTCACTACAACAGAATTTCAGTAAACGAGATTAATTGGGAACAGATTAAGGTTTTTCTAATTGTCTGGATTTCCAATAAAAAGGGCTCGTAGGCAACTTCAACATAAAAAAATGCTCAAATCATTCACTCTGAGAGTTACAGAAATGGAGCAGATGAATTAAATCATTAATATAAATTTTTAATAACAGAAAACTTACTTTACTGTATTACATATTGAATAGTATTGCCTTAGGTGATAGTTATTGTTCTGGAATGAAAGTTTTAATAAAATAATTAAGTTATGTTCATGCTTTTAAACAAATATTTACCAACATACAGTATTCACTTGATGTGATTTTTTCACCAGAACTGATTCTGAATTATCAATGATCCAGTTTTTTAACATCTGCACTACTGCAAAATCTTTAGATGGAAATTCATTTTGTTCGCTTCTATATTTACATATTCAGAGGCTGTTTTATCTATGTTTAAAACACTTTAGGTTTAAGTCAGATGAATAGGGAGAAAATTGGCTGCAAAAGAAGTAGGTCGCCTTTGTTGTGAAAGAATGCAAAACCAACTGACAGCAATGAAGTGTTCATGCAAACGATATTCATATAATGTAATCATGTATAAAGTACAAAAATTAAGATGTTATCTATTCGCAAGAAAAATGTTGGTGACTTCTCAGAAATTTGCATTTAATATTTGTCTTGAGATACATTTGTACGTTATCCATAAGTAATGATTTTTTTTTATTGTTTCTAATACTTTAACAACAATACTACAAAATAAATAAAAACCTATTTTAGCATTATTTGTTCCATTTATGAACAGAAATTTCAAAAATACAGGATTCACCATGCACTTGGTAACATAAATGAAATAGGCAAACCTGCTCGTGAAAAATTATCTTTATAAACAACATGATTCAAAGGTCTTACAAATTAGCTCATTTAAAAATATTAGACTATTTTATCCCACTTAGACACCAAATAAGTATGGTTTAAATCAAAACCTAAAGCACATTGAATAATCTGAAGTCATAGGCCTCTTTGGCCAGAGTTATTCAATTTATTTTGGCTGTCCGTGATGCTGCATCAAAGTCTAGGGTGCTAACGTTTTGACCATTTTATCATGGCCTTCCTCAGGACTGGTCTGCTGGCTACAAACCAGCCCGGGGGAAGACCATGACAAGATGGGAAACATTGGCACCACAGCCTTCAATGTGGCGTTATACAAAATTTCATGCAAAATTTCAAAATTCAAAATTTCATACAAAATTACTTGTGGATCAATCTACAACACACAAATAAGCTCAAACTGCTGAAGCCACATTTTTATTGAAAATTAAAATGAGTATTTTAAGAATTTTTGATCTTATATTTCAAGTAGTTCTGTAATATTATGCCAAATATAAATAAGATGCAGAATGAGGCAAAAACAAGAGAAACTTACTTCTTCATTATTATCATCTTCATCATCACTGTCTTCAGAATAAAGATCCTTCTTCATCTAAACACACAGAAAAAACACATTGGTAAAAACTAGCTTTTCTATTTTTAGGTATAATTTTTTCTCAACAGGCATCATAATATTTCAAACTAAAGGACCATTTCATAAAATATTTTATCCGCCAATACTTTCTGTTAATAAAGACTGAAAGAAATTTACATAACTATGTAATGTTTTTTATGAAATTCACAATTTAACCTTTTTTCGGATTGTAATTCATTTTGGCCACTTTTAGGACACACAGTTTTGAAGCAATGGTTTAAAAATGATTGAAATTGATATTACATCAAAATAATGACATTATGAAGAGAGGAATAAAATCGGTTAAAATATAGGTCCTATTAATAATGACTGAAATTGTAATTACTTTCATTCACATTTTTGAATAATTGAATTTGTCTTTTAACAATTCTGCAACATAATGGAATATTTTAAAAAGAGCTAATTGCT